TTGGCGTCGTTGCATGCCCTTCCTGGCTGTGATGTTGGACTTTCAAGCACCCGTTCCGATAGAACGCTTCACTTTCCGATAAAAAAAGTGTTATTGTAGCATTTATTAGGCTGGTCCAATTGAAGTTAGAAGCGGCGAAGTTTCAATGAAATTCAAACTACAAAGCAACTGGAAACCAGATGATGACATTCTACTAATAGGGCAGGCAGGTTGGACTTCATTGTCACCTTTGCTTCCAAATATCTGCGTGGATCAAAGAAGACGACCGTTGACGCAGCAGGTGACGAATTGGTGTTCATTTTTGCTAAATTCTCTCTGATGGACTATTTTTCAGAAGCCAAAAGGAGACTTGGGAAACGTATCGCTCAGTAGGTCCCTAGTGAAAAGATAATGGATATTGGCTAGATTGGTTTGCACAAGTAGACGTGCACAAAATGCGAGTGAGGGGAGGTCACCAAACTCAACAAAAAGGGATAACAAAGAAGGTAATATATAGGTAATATTCAATACCACACTAGCTGCCTCACTGTCTAGCTGTTAGGCATCCCGGAGCAGGGTACAGCATCGTTGTGCGAAACCCTTTGAGGGGTCGTACTTGGCCGCTGTGGAAGGAGGGGGGGGGGTCGTCAAGGGTCAGTCAGCACCGGACAATGCTATGACATTTCACTTGATAGTAGGAGAGGTATGAATATCAAGGTGGTAAAAAAAGTGTGAAAATTTTCATGAGTGTATACTTTACAGAATTGATTGTTCCGTTCATCAGCCTTCTTTTCTTGCGGAAGCCCCAGAAAGGGTGTCGCACTTGGCTCCAGGGGTTGGGGTTAGGGTCGCAAACGCAGGGTCGGCTGAGCATCAAGCAGCACAAAAGTGTCATTGCTAAGTTTGATGGAGCGGACGGAAAGCTGCAGAAGACCCGGATGTAAGGAAGACTACAAAATAAAAAAAATTGATTAGCAATATCAATTGTTAGCATGAACTCGTAAGTACGTAGATGACTAAATGATATATTACATCTCGAACAGTTCGTGATATTGTCCTTTCCAAACCCTAAACATCTGCTTGCATGGACAAAAGCACCTGAAATCAGAATTTACACCTTTCCACCACCTCTGCAGAAGCGTAATGCACGGCGCACACTCGGACCAAATCGATCGATGATAACCAAGCTCTCTTTCACTCATTTGAAGGGAAATATGTGTTTTGAAGGCACGTCAAAGTTTCCGAAGGTGTATCCCAACAATGACACAGAAGGAGTCGAACTTTTGAGCGGCTCATAGCGCATTGGTAACTCATCTACAATATCTCCTGAAGTAGCGTCTTCAGGAAAACTGTAAAGCCTGTCGGAAGAAGGAAAGATAGGGCGGTTTAAGACGGTTTTAATCCTGATGAAATTGCGTTCGAAATAAGTAATCCTTGTGTGAAGCATAAAAACCCGCTTGCCATTTACCCCTAGCCGATCCGAAACCCATCCGAAATATTTCACGAACGGGGAAACATTCAGATTGCAACTAGGTAGAAAACGCAACAGTAGGAACATTGCTTCAGCATGCTGCTTACCATTTCTCAAAAGTCCACACCTAAAAAAGCTATAACCTCCCGAAAAGACCTCAGGACGTTGCCTGGGCCAACAACTGCGCTCCAATGACGTTTTTCCAACAAAAGCGGTCGCAACGTTGTGACCGTGGCTATCGATATATTGCTGCCTGGTAATTCATTTTTCCATTCAGTTTCGCAATTTTTTTCTGTTTTTTTCATGTTTCGGTCCTGCATGTTTTCACGATTTCCCCGTCACCGTTCATTGAATGCACATCAGGGGCCTG